ATCCCAAAGCCCTCCTTATAGCACCACTCCCTTAGCCAACTATTTATTCTCACAATCCTATCAGCCCTTTGCTTCCCTTCTCTAGGAACAGGCAGAATCCCACTAAAGATAATCTGAGCCTCTATCTCCTTGAGCGTCTTACCCAGCCTGGCATAATCTCCCTTGATTCTCTCTAACGAGAACCTAGCCGTGTCATTCGTTCCTACATGAAGGATTATCAAGGGGTTCTTACCTGCTCCTTTTAGTATACTTTTCAACCGCAGGTCCACATCGCGTATCTTTGCGCCCGGTAGACAGCACACCCTTCTGTTTTCTGGGTCCGCCCTGGTCACAGGCCTGTCTAATCTCCTCAGTAAAGAGTCCCCAATCACATACACCTGCCGTCGCCTGGCAACAGTGCGATCTACTAATCTATTCTCTGATCCCTCTAGTCCTAATCCATGTCTGTTCCTATCTTCCCCTATACTCCCCCTTGTGCCTTCCTGAATCATCTGGGGGCCCAGATTTGGTGCTGTCTCCATCAACTCCTCCCCTCTCTCTATTGGATTAGCTGCTCTTCTCTTCTTCCTCACCCTCCCACCTTCAGTCACCACCTGCTGCCCCCCCTCCTCGTTATCCAAACACCCAAACCTGTTCCTGAGTTCTATTTCCCCCTCACTAGCCCTCCTTTTCCTTGGCCTGCTTCTCACGGTCACATGCTTCCACTGCCCTTGTTCTCCCCCTAACATTCCCCCCTCACAGTCCTCTACCTCTGCTTCCACCTGCACCCCTGAGCATTCCCCTTCAGCCCCTCCTTGCCTGTCCTCCATCAGCTGCTCGAACCCCCGTCTAAACTCCACCAGGGTATCTATCTGCATCTCCAACCCCTTAATCTTTTCTTCCAGTAATGCTATTAGGCGGCACTTCATGCAAACATACCTCTGTTCTGGCTCACCTGCTAGGACTATGTACATACCACAGCTTCCACATGCAGCCATCTGCATTCTGTTTGCTGCTGCTTGGCTCATGGCTGCCACAGTCTCTGCCCACAGCACCTGGGGACACAGAGCACACAACACATTGTGCCCTCCTGCCTCCCCTTCCACCTCCCCTGCAAACTCCCACTCAAACTCCCCTGTTAGCAGCCCTGTGCCGCTGCCTGGCTGGGCGGCCGCTTTTATGGGCCCCCTACTCAGCCAAGCCCCGCCCCCTACTCAGGGCTCGGCGTCCCTCCCAGCACCCTGCCCCTACAGGCCTCTACACATACACAAGGACTACAAAGACAGACACAAGTACAGATACCTTCTCCTCCAATGAGACTCCCACTCAAACTCCCCTGTTAGCAGCCCTGTGCCGCTGCCTGGCTGGGCGGCCGCTTTTATGGGCCCCCTACTCAGCCAAGCCCCGCCCCCTACTCAGGGCTCGGCGTCCCTCCCAGCACCCTGCCCCTACAGGCCTCTACACATACACAAGGACTACAAAGACAGACACAAGTACAGATACCTTCTCCTCCAATGAGACTCCCACTCAAACTCCCCTGTTAGCAGCCCTGTTCGCTGCCTCCTGTGCCGCTGCTGTATATGAAGGTAATATACAGATATGTCTAGTAAAGCTGGAGTACCTTAACATTAATAAGTAAAATGCAAGGAATGCTAAAATAATTAGGATTTTCCTTTATGCTTGGGAATAAATTTGGCTTCCAAACAATAACTCAGTATTTCCTCTTGTACTGTAGAATCTCTTGGCAGCCTTTCTGCGGCCACAAGTTTGTTAGGGAGGAATCAGTCTGCGTACGACAGGTCTTTGTATCAGGGTGGCCCAAAAGTTGCAGAAAGATTCTTTATACCAGGGAATGTGGTTCTTCCAGATTATGGGATTACACAGACACACTTAGTGAAGTATATGTCAAAGTACCTTGCTGAATCATAGCTTTATTGAAGACTGTCTTGGTTTTTGTCACTTTTGTCTGGAAAGTCTCTTACTTGAAACAAACCTAGAGCAAAACTCTCTTTGCAAACTTTAAATTCTGACCAGGTACCACCTCTTACCCAATTAAGTATTTTCAGTGCTTAGATGTTTCTGGGTGGGATGCCAACAAGCAGCTTGAACCCACCTTGATTAGTGCCTGAGGAATTATGGGATTCTAGTATTTGTGGATGTGTTGCAGCTTGTGCCTATACAAATAGATCTAAATTAGGACCCAACAGGCTAGATTGAGATGTCTATTGGAGAAATGCTGTTTATGGGTAAGATATTTTCTATTATCCTCTGTTATCCACTGATTTTGTTCTAGGCCACATCCTACAGCTGTGGAATGTACATACAATTCATGCTCTTGCGGTAGCTAGTCTTACCATTGGCCCCTACTATTAAAAGAATGTGGATAGAGTTTGTAAGTGGCCTTAACTTGAATATTCTTGGGATGTGACTAACTGAAGTCTTTCTGGTTATAGAATGGTGAATCTCATGCATATTTCTATTAACAGTATAAACTTGTTTAAAGTGCTAGGTAACACACCTTTTAAAAAAAACCAGGGGTAAGATATTGGGACAAATTTGTTCTCAGGGAGACTAAACGTAAATCTGAAGTAACTCCAGTCAAGCTACTCCAGATTTAAACTAGTTTTAGTGAAAGCACTCTGTATCATTGGTAGTTAGAACAATAAATTACTCTTGATGCACATGGGCTGATCCCAAGTATTGCTTTTCACTGTAAAAGGAACTAGAGAAAGAGAGAACTGATCTCATGGAAGATGTGACAGCCAACAAGAGAAGGATGAAAGAGCTGGAAGATAACTTGCTCTATCGACTGACAAGCACACAGGGTTCTCTGGTGGAGGATGAGAGTCTGATCACTGTATTGAGTAACACCAAGAAGACTGCTGAGGAAGTGACACAGAAACTGCAGATTTCTGCTGAGACTGAAATACAGATCAACTCAGCCCGTGAGGAGTACAGACCCGGTGAGCTGGAATCCCTAATAATAAAAAACAAATGTGACAAGCAAATGGGGGGGAAAAAAAAAAGCAATGCTAGCGTGGGAGAAATGAGGATGAGAGCATGAAGAAAAAAGGGATTATACAAATAACAGGGGAACTGTGTTTCTCCGTAAATTCAATGGATAAGACAAATAGCATAGTGATCTGTTGTGGAAAAATTTATCAATTTATGTTGTGTGAATCACATGCTGAACTCTTACCAATTCCCAATGAAAAATCTGTTATAAGGCTAACTTCTGTGCCTGTATACGCTGGAAGTGCAGATCCGTAACGTTGACCTGGGAAGAGACAGCCCAGTTTTATACTACTTTCCAACCCACAAAATGTTGGCATTTTGTAGGCTGCCAACCTGATCAGTGTTGAGGAAAGGGCATATACTTGTTTGTAGCATCCTAACATCCCTTAGTCTTAATGTGTTGAGCTTTTATTTGGGCACTATTGTAGTATTGTAAATGCTTCATTCATTCTTGATACTTTGCCTCTAAATTAGCTCAATGGTTAACAATGGAACATGTGATTACACATTATACTTATGTAGAAGACTGCAGTAAAAAGGGGACACAGGTACACTGTGATGTCTTTAACAGAATGCATTAATTTATTATAAATCTTAGCAATTTTAGAGTTTGATCACTGAAGTCAAGAGACCTCCTCTGGATCAATGGCAAGGTCCTTACGTATTTTGTATGTTTTGTATTCTGTGCTTTACTTTTGGATTTGTTACTTCTGGAATGAAAAGTTCCAGGTAGTATTCAGTTGGGATTTCTCTGCATTTTGAGAGATTCATGAAATGGTATTTGTTACATAGTGTAAGAACATGTAGGATTAGAACCTGGGACCATAGGGGTTCTGGGGGACTGATGCCTCCATATCACCACTGGAGATTCAGGCTGGGCATCCATGAGAGGACCCTGTAAAGTTAGGTTAGACAGGAAGTACCTCCCAGCAGGGCCTGAGGGGCAGTCCCTCACACCCCACTGACTGGCCAGTATATAAACCAGGAAGCCATAAAGGGAATCTGATGAGCAACAACACAGACTGCTTGCCTGCTTCTGCTCCAGACCTTGCTTGCACTAGACCAGTGGTTCTCAAACTTTTGTACTGGTGACCCCTTTCACATAGCAAGCCTCTGAGTGTGATCCCCCTTATAAATTAAAAACACTTTTTAATGTATTTAACACCATTATAAATGCTGGATGCAAAGCAGGGCTTGGGATGGAGGCTGAAAGCTCACAACCCCCCATGTAATAATCTCACGACCCCCTGAGGGGTCCCAACCCTGCAGTTTGAGAACCCTTGCAATAGACCCTAGATGTGGCTTCAGACCCTGGTTTGTCCTCGACTTTGCTATTCGATTGCTGTCCGTAACCTGGTGCCCATTCCTGATTTCCTGGTAACCTGACTCCTGCTCCAACCACTAGCTTAGCCCGCCCACGTCCCAGTCATGACAAATGGCAATACTCCTTCAGAATGTTGGAAAGCCCTGGCTGCTGATTGCCTGGTTAGAGTAAAATGAGTTACAATGTAGTGGGTTACTTATTTACTGACATGTAAATGAGACTAAAATTAGCACTAAACCACGTATGAATGGTTAATGATATAACAGCTAAAAGTTTTAGTTGTCATCATTAACATTGTTATACTTGATGCAGTAAGTTTAGAGATCTGCATTTTTTTCTTTTGCATTTTCTGCTTTAAGCACAGCCTTTCTCTTCATCTTTCAGTTGCAACAAGAGGGAGCATCCTATATTTCCTTATAACTGAGATGAGTATGGTCAATGTGATGTATCAGACTTCTCTTCGACAGTTTCTGGGACTCTTTGACCTTTCTCTAGCCAGGTAACTAACATTACTGAAAGATCAGATGACTTTTTTCCCCCTTGAAAAGGACTGTAGTAAAGTAAATTACAGTGTTCCTCTGAAAATGGGGCTTTCCTGCCTCTATTTCATTATGCTATCACATGCAGAAGCAGAGAACTAGGAAAAGAACTTGTTTACCAATATTTCTTAAGCTTTGTCTGTGGACCTTGGTAGGAGCAGGTTTTTAGTCCACTATGAGACAGTTGTTTCCAATGCAAATAGATCTAGTCAGAGGTAAGAACTCGGATAAGTTGCTTCAGCTTTAGAGTCTGTTTTAGTATTCTGCTGTCTGGTAATATGTCTTAGTGACCTATTCATTTTTGAGATGTTCGGGATAATGAACTAGAACTTCCTGCATACTTGCCCTACTCCTTTCCAGAAAATCTTTTCTATAAACTTAAACAATAAAGGCGCTGAACTAAATTTTCCTTTTGAACAGGTCTGTCAAGAGCCCAATTACGAGTAAGAGAATTGCTAATATAATTGAGCATATGACCTATGAAGTATATAAGTATGCTGCCAGGGGACTTTATGAGGAGCACAAATTCCTGTTCACCTTACTGCTTACCTTGAAAATAGACATGCAGAGAAACAGAGTGAAGCATGAAGAGTTCCTGACACTTATTAAAGGTCAGAACATCTGTATAATTAGAAAATGTGCAAATACATTATTGTGCAATATCTAGGAGTCACTCTTTTATAGGTACAGCTTTTCTGCCTGTCAGGTGTTACTGCTTCTGAAAGATCAGAGGAGATAAAGAATGCAGTATCATATTGTACTGATAACTTATGGGAATAATATTGAACTTCAATGATGTAGGTGTTGGGAATTAAAGAGGTGATAAGAGGTAAAAGAGCAATCTCATTATAGCACGATTCCAGATGACTTTGCAGTAGGTAGTCCAAGTACTACCCAGCATGAGTGTTTTTTTATCAAATAATTTGAAAAAAGAGACGTGGACACTAAAGGACCCATGGCTTTTTAGTAAATGCAGAGGGTTCACAGGAAGTGAAACTGAAAATAATGTAAAATAATTCTTAATGACCTAAAAAGCTTTTCTGGACAAAAAAATATTTCGACTTTAGTCATGTAACCTCATGCAAGTGCCATGTGCCCTCATTGAGAAGTTAAATATCATCCCCTGTCCACTTTCCAAGGGGATACTGGTCCTGTTTCTAGCCCAGTAAGATATTAGACTTCACAGGCAACACTTCTTATGGTTTAAAAGGAAAACTTGTTCCTGTGTCCATGCTGAATCTTGCCCCTCAAGAGGGCTAACTTTTGGAGGGAACTGAAGGTTGGCTTAAAGGAATGGCAGTTTGTCTGAGGCTGCTCAAGACATAGGAGTGTTAGAAAAAGTCTTCAGGAGGCAAACTAGTAAGCAGAGTCCAAATGAGGTAGTCCAAGATGTGTGGTAAATGTACTCATTACAAGACTACAATTGATACTTGGCTTCTCCAGTGTTGACTAACTGAAGTTGGTGCAAAAGTTTTTATGCACAACATAGTTTCTCCTTGTCCATTTCTCTTCAAGAAGTCAGTGATTCAGGTAGATCCCCTTCCTCCATCCTAATCTAGCTTGAAGTGAACTTCAGAGGAGACAAATGACCTTTGGATAATTGAGCTTTGAATAATTTCGCTTTTTCTGTACTAGTTTTCTACACAAAAAAAGTAAAAATTAAAAGGCCAGCTTTTTTTTTAAATAACTTGTATAAACTAAGATTTGTCACTTCAATGAAACTAGGTTTCAATTTTGACAGGGCTCTCGCATGTTCAAAAATCTTTTTTTCAGAAGTGTATGTGTGTGTGTGTATGTGTAAAACACTAGATTTGGTTGAAATGCCTCATGTTTTCAATTCTCAAGTTTTTTTCTGATGAAATTAAATAGAGAACAGACTTTTGGGAAAATGTTAGAGCTTTCATCTACTACAGAAGTGCATGGAATATGGTCTCAATATTTAGATGAGGTTTTCCAAAATATTGCTTTTCTGGAAAACTCTATTTTTAAAACAGGCTCTAATTATAGCCTTACCCCTCACAGGTGGTGCTTCTCTGGACCTTAAAGCTTGTCCTCCTAAACCATCTAAATGGATCCTGGATATGACTTGGCTGAACCTGGTGGAACTCAGTAAGCTTAGACAATTCTCAGATGTTTTGGACCAAGTAAGTAGCAGTTTCTCCAAAGAGTCCTATAAATTAAGAGGCACCGAGCAACAGATGAGCATTAAGTATTTGTCCATGTCCTTAGTCATCTGTGAACAATGGAATTAAATTAATATACAAAATTAGGCTATGAAACAACTAAGGCTATTACAGACACTATGCCCATGAAAGAACTCAGGAAAGCAAGTAAATGAAGAGAGGCCACTTAGTAATACATATTTTCTGTCCTCCATTCACAAACACATACGCCCCTTGACATTTTTCCAATTCTCCTCCACCACATAACACAACCTTAACTCTGTTCCCACGGGGATGCAAGCTTTCCTGCATCCCTAGAGTGCTCCATTTTGACTTTCCCTCCCAACACTTTCTGGTGAATATTTAGTATAGTCGTTTGGTTGAGGGCATCAATGCATAGTCTTCTTTTTGTACTCCGTCTAAAAATTTGTTTTCTCTAATATCCACAGTAACCCTATATAAACAAAGATTAATAAATAAACATGGGTATGCCTCTAATGTCTGACCTTCACTGAAAGTTTTGGAGTTTGTGTGTTGCAGTGTGACTCCTTCTATATTGTGAGATGCGGTTCTCTGCCTTATGTGTACAGATTTCAAGAACAGAGAAACAATGGAAAATCTGGTTTGATAAGGAGAATCCAGAGGAAGAACTTGTTCCCAGTGGCTATGATCAATCTCTGGACTGCTTCAGACGTCTCCTCCTTATTAGATCCTGGTGTCCTGATAGAACCATAGCTCAGGTACATTAACCTGTAGGCATATTTTGTCTGCTCCTTCAGATGTAATAATTTCCTGTAGGAATTATTTAATTAAGTTTGAATATATTTTATCAAATATACAATATAGCAGGGATTGGCAACCTTTGGCACGCAGCCCGTCAGGGAAATCCGCTGGCGGGCCGGGATGGTTTGTTTATCTGCAGCGTCCGCAGGTTCGGCTGATCGCAGCTCCCACTGGCTGTGGTTCGCCGTTCCAGGCCAATGGGGGCTGCAGGAAGCGGCGGCTAGCACATTCCTTGGCCCACGCCACTTCTTGCAGCCCCCATTGGCCTGGAACGGCGAAACGCAGCCAGCGGGAGATGCGATCAGCCGAACCTGCGGATGCTGCAGGTAAACAAACTGCCCCGGCCCACCAGTGAATTTCCCTGATGGGCCGCATGCCAAAGGTTGCCGATCCCTGCAATATAGCATCAGAGTTTCAGTGCTATGTATGTAAAATGTTACTATCTTCTAATAATCCTTGTTACTTAAACAGCCCTTGGGATTTTTTCAAAGTGCTTTACAGACCTATACTAATTCATACAGCTATCGCAGGGGTGATCCCTTTGTATGATGATTCCACTTTGCTGATGGAAAAATTGACTCTCCCATAGAGTCGAAACTTAAACTCAGGAGTTACTGTGCTCAGTCTACATTGCCTTGTAAGTGAAATAGAAACTTGCTTGCTGGCTTCGTTAATATGGTAACAGAAATCCTAGCTGGAATTTCATCGCCACCTTAAAGTTTAGCTGAAATCTCTTCCAAAACTTTGAAAAACATTATTTAAACACCATTCTGCTTATTTAACTTTACATGTTCTGCCTTGTCTTTCCTTCATGCTACTGAGTTAAACTACGTGAGAATCAGATCATTTAAGTACCCTTTTTTTTTTTTTTGCTATTTGGTTTGAGCACATCCTCATTTCATACTGTGCAGAATTGCACCAGATAAGTAGTTTTTGTCCAACTATTTCCATGGAAAATGAGAAGAGAAATATAGGAACTATATGCTTCAAGTGGAAAATATGTAAATATTCCATATCCTGGAAATGCTACAGCAAAAAACAACAATTCTGGAAAGACCCTCTTTCCCCTGGCCACATCCCACCCTGTGGGTGCTGCAAAGCAAGGTGGCATTGGCCCAGAATGAGTGAGTTCATATTAACAGAGGAATGGTGTCAGTATCTGGATCAATGATACTAAGTTTTGTGGTGAAACTGCAACCCCTTCCCACCCACTCTCAAAGCCCAGTGGGCATAGGCCCTTGTGAGACAGTTTCTTGAGGAATCCGCTAGTTTGACAGTGAGCAGGGGAAGACACAACTCTCACCTGCTCGTTGTTGGTGAGTTGACAGACCTGTTCAAGACTTGATTTTCTTTTAACCTCTGCCTACAGGTTATTCTAAGCAGAATATCATTGTGATATCTTATGTCCATAGTGTATTGATAACCTCCTATTTGTGTTATGCTAAATTTATTAGTTTCTGGTTATTGATCTACACTACCAGAGAATCAAATGTGAGGTCAGCTTTCCCACTTATACTGGATCCCACAAGTAGTTTTCTGCCTAACATTAAACTTGTTCTGTTACCTACATCTCTCTCTCTCTCTCTGTGTTTCTGTGTGTTATAAAAAAAAAGTTTGTACACCTATGTGCATATGTATGTGTATATCTTGTCTTCAATTTTAGTCCATGATGAAAGCTTTTCAAGAAAAGCAATATGTACAATCTTTAAATGCAAAATCAGCTGTAAACCACATCTTACAGATAAGGCTGTGACTACAGATTCCTTACTGTACTAAGCAAATGAGCTTAATAGTATTCTGTCTTACATGCTTGCTCAGAAGCTAGACTTTTTTTTTTTGAGGTAGAACTTCTTTAACTTTAACTTCTCTGGATTTTGTATAATTGCTCCGATGTGGCTGCTCTAGTTTTATTATTGTTTGCTTGGATTTCCTCTTCCTTCTCTCTGAGGTTTTAATTTGCCCATTGACTTTCCTTTGTCTCTCAGAGGAAATTTCAGTACTCTGCCTATCACTTAGGATCCTTTCAGTTATTTATTGCCTCACCTACCCAAGAAACTGTAGAGATTTTATCCATACTGAGATGTGGAAGGCTGGAATTAAACTCTAGGATGATATTATTACGGTTAAATTGCGTATATTGTTTCACAGAACTTAATTATTGGCATTGCAATCCTCTCTGGACTTTTGATAGATGTAAAAATTCAGTTCTGGTGTACATGGATACAACTTCTATTGAAGTTAGGGGACTGATTTCAATGCCAGAGCTTAACCTGGTCCAGATTATTCCTCTCACAAAAACAGGAATACCCTATTCACGGTGAATCTCGCTTATCTTGTTATGATTATACAGTACTTGGCTTTAGAGAATAAATACAAATTTACTTGAGGGTAACAGTTTTCAAAAGCTTATTATTTTCACTTCTGAAGGGTCTGTCTTTGGAGGCTTCCTTACAGTTAGTTTCATATCTACTTTGCTTCTTTTCTACAGTGCTCAGTGACTGACTCCTTTTTAGTTTCAACTGTGGAAACTAAATAAGAGATCATTTAGTTAATTACCCACTAACTTTTACATAATTCAAGGGATTTTGTCCTCCCTCTTTATTGGCTCAGGTCTGTAACCTGAAGAAATCATTTTCCATGTTCCTTCTTTCTAGTTGCCAGTTGATCTTAAGCACTAGCCACCTGCTCTTCCATGACGACTAAGCCATGACTTCCAAGTCCATGACTCCTCTGAAGTGCTGATCATTGTTCTTGCTCATATGTTAGTGTTTCCAAATCCTAAAATGAAGTTCCAGTTTGTGAGAGATTGTGAAAAACTTGGTTTTGTTATACTTCAGAACAAAATGAAATGTCTCATGAAACTGAAGTTTAGCCAGTTCTAGTCTTGAATGCCTTTGTCTCTGAGAACTGACTCATTACTGATTGGTCCTTTTTCTTGTACATTAAACTGGTAGCTACTGTAAATCCAGAACTCAACTGCCAGAGAAGCAATAGAGCAGAGATCACTTCAGTCTAGTTTGAAAGGGCCTTAATTTGTTCTCCATTTATATATTTGCCTTACAGCTTCAAAAACTGAAATGGAGTTTGTCCTAAATAGCATAGAGTCTCTGTAACTCATCTTCCAAATAATACCAGTTATTTTGATTGCTACTTCATTGTGGCTTAAAAAAAAAGGGGGGAGGCACAAAAGCGTGATATCTTCCTCCTATGGTGATCTGATTTTAAATCATCTTGTCAACTCTTAATAGGCCACAACATTGCATATGGTGGTTATATGTTGGCCATCTTACATAGGATAAAATGTAGTGTTTCTATAGGATAAAATGTAGTGTTAAATTTGGTGAGTAGTTAATATATATAACTTGCAGCCTCAGTTTATAGAAAGCAACATTTGAATGACTATAATAGATGTGGTTGAACTTTTTAATATAGGCCAGGAAGTATATCATGGATACCATGGGGGAAAAATATGCAGAAGGAGTCATCTTGGACTTGGAGAAGACATGGGAAGAATCAGATCCACGTACTCCTCTCATCTGCTTTCTTTCTATGGGTTCTGATCCTACCGACTCAATCATTGCTCTGGGGAAAAGACTGAAGACAGAGACACGTTATGTTTCCATGGGTCAGGGACAAGAAGTCCATGCTCGTAAACTTCTACAGCAGACCATGGCACATGTAAGGCAAAACCTGAATCGTTGTTGTCTTGTCACTGCGTGGTTACAACATGTAATGTGTTATAACCCCGAATAGAAACAAAGCGTTCTGATACTGTTGATGCATGTAGATCTAATTGTTTTATAAAAGTAACTTGAATTCCAAAACAATAGGCCTGCGTCATACAATGGTAGACTATCAAGGAAAGCCAGTCAGTGAAAATGCATGTGACTAATGGGAATTTCATAACTGATTATGACATGCCAACTTCATGATCTGACTTAATGATTATTAACTACTAGTATATAGTATATAGTATATGATGCTTTTAAATTTATTTTACTATATTGTTGACAAACATTGAGTGGACTTAATGATTGACAAACATTGAGAGGACTTAATGATTATTAACTACTAGTATATAGTATATAGTATATGATGCTTTTAAATTTATTTTACTATATTGTTGACAAATATTGACACAATGTGTAAACATTGAGAGGACTTCCAAATTTCATGTCTCTTATAGAGAGCATATTACATATTTGTGATTTTCTGTGGAAAAACAAAAACATAACATAAGAACTGCCATAGTGGGTCACACTAGTGGTCCATGTAGCTCAGTTTTCTGTCTCTGACAGTAGCCAATACCAGAGATTCAGGGAGAATGTCCAGAACAGGACAGTTATGGAGAGATCCACCCTATCTTCTCCTTCTGGCAACCAGGTTCACCCTCTGACCATCTTGGCTAATAAGCATATAAGTTTCAAAGAGCCTTAATTTGTTCTCCATTTATATATTTGCCTTACAGCTTCAAAAACTGAAATGGAATTTGTCCTAAATAGCTTGGAGCCTCTGTAACTCATCTTCCAAATAATACCACTTATTTTGATTACTACTTCATTGTGGCTTAAAAAAATGGGGGTGGGGGAGGCACAAAAGCATAGATGGATTTATCCTGCATGAATTTATCTATTTCTTTTTAAAACCCAGTTATACTTTTGGCTATCACAACATCCCATGGCAATGAGTTCTAAGGTTAATTTTGTGTTATGTAAAAAAGTACTTCTCATGTTTGTATTAAACCTGCTGCCTGTTAATTGTATTGGCTGGCCCCGGGTTTTTGTATTGTGGGAAATGATAAATAACACTTTTTCTATGAACTTTTTCCATACCATTCATGATTTTATAGACCTCTTCCCTCCCTTAGTCATCTCTTTAAGATGAACAGCCCTATTGTTTTAATCTCTCCTCATATGGAAGCTGTTCCATACCCTTGATCATCTTGTATTGCCCTTCACTGAACCTTTTTCCAGTTCCACTATATCCCTTTTGAAATGGGAAGATCAGAACTGAACACAGTTTTCAAGGTGTGGGCACACCATGGATTTATATAGTAGCTATATATTTTCTGTTTTATTTTCTATCTCTTTCCTAATGGTTCCTATGATTATATTAGCCTTTTTGACTCTGCTGCACATTGAGCTATAGTTTTCAGACAACTATCCACAATTACTCTGAGATCTCCTTCTTGAACGGTAACAGCTAATTTAGAATCCGTCATTATATATGTGTAGTTGGGATTATTTTTCCCAACGTGCATTACTTTGCACTTATCAACGTTGAATTGTATCTGCCATTTTGTTGCCCAGTCACCTGGTTTGGTGAGATTCCCCTGTAACTCTTCGCAATCTACTTTGGACTTAATACAATGCTTTTTAATATAAATACTCATAGAATGGAAGTTATCTGTAAGCAGTCTGGGGAGGAAAGAGAACAAGGTTTTTATTAATACAAATTAGCAATTGAAAGTGCTCATGTGTAATAGGACTGCAATGCAATTCAAAGGGGAAAATAATACATGTTCTTTGCACAATAGCAATCCATTTTATGGTAGCAGTGAAATCATTATAATCTTACTACTTCAGCTGAAGAGGAGAGCAATGAGTTAAACTGACACTTGTTTCCTAAATGTATGGACAGCTGAGCCCAGCTCAGAGGCTTTCAGCTCTTTGTGCTGTATTTGGAAGCAGTGAGTGATAGCTGCCACCTTGCCCCCTGCATTGTAAAATACATAAAATTAGGAGGCTGCCTTCTGGTGATAATTTATCATTATGTAGTGAAGTGACATTATAGCCTGGTAATGGGAAATGTCATAAGGAAAAGATTGCGAATGGGGAAATAAATGTATCTGCAAGGAGTCAGCATCCCTCTTCCACACCCATAATCAGCAAAGGGTGAGTAAACACCCTTTGTACTCCCCAAAACTCTATCCCATCCATACGCTTACTCTTCTGAGCATTGAGAGAGAGGGAACTAACTAGGTAATTCTTTCCCTTCTGGGTTTTGGATAGGGAATGGAGAATTTGGTAGCAAGATCTCATTTTCCCTGAAGAAGAACTGGAGGAGTCTGGGGGACAAAAATTCCTGTAGATAAAAGGAAATAGGGGGTTCTCTGCTTTTGCACAATTCACCCATCTGGTGCTGATGGTGCTCCAGCTAATGATGTGAAGGTATTGAGTCCTATCAACTCTTTAGTCAGATGCAAGTCCTTCTGTTGCTTCCACTTGAGTTTCTCACTTAATGAAGCCTCATTTACCTGAGGCAGAACAAGAGGTAACAGAACTCTCCCAAATCCAGAAGGGGTGTATGTGGAGGGGGGGAGCTGTGGTCCCATACAGTCTATTTTGTTTTAACCCCTATTTAGCATCTCCAGCTTGCTGGGTTGATCAGGTCACTAGGATACCATCATCATAGTGTCTGTAATATGTGGGCTGGTTAGCATGTCAAGGCATGTATTTCCGAGTTCACTGATTTAGCACTTCTATCCCAGTGGTCTTCAGGAATACTTTTATTGTAGTGAAAAGGAAACAAAACTTCTACTTAATGGAGGACAGCAGGTTCAATGGATCCACTGATTAGAATCATGGACAGGTCAAGACTCATAACCATCAAAGTTGAGAATCAAGGGTACATGATGGAGGATTAAGTAGGCCTTGTTTTGAGGAGGAGTATAAAAAGGACACTCAAAGGGTCATCCCACACATCTGCAAGTGGTAAATTTGCCATTCTTGTCAGACAGCATGGGCTGCAATTAGCATTTTCTTGCAGATGGGAAATACTTTGTCACTCCATCAATGGCTATTAGCCAGGATGGGCAGGGATAGTGTCCCTAGCCAGGGAATGAGTGACAGAGAATGGATCACTTGATGATTACCTGTTCTGTTCATTCCTCTGGGACATCTGACATTGGCTTCTGTCGGTAGACAGGATACTAGGCTAGATGGGCCTTTGGTCTGACCCAGTATGGCCGTTCTTATGTTCTTATATCTTAGTTGTACAATTAGCATGTGAACTGTCTGCCAGTTCTTGAGATTTACGTGGGAAAATATAAAGTTCTGAAAGGCACTAATTTGAATTGATGAGGACTTGGTGCAGAATTGACAAGCTTAGAACTGGAATGTGGAGGAATATGTTACTTAAATTCTTCCCACCTTGCTGCACATGAGCTGTTGGACACATTTGATTACCATGCTGTAAATTAGAATTGTTTGATACATTTCTAATTGTAATGATAAATAAAATGTCATTTAGTGTTTTCAGTTTGCAAATAAATTTAAATGCCACACAAATGCATATCACATCTTGTTCTCTTCTGTTGCACTAGGGAGGATGGGCACTTCTTCAGAACTGCCACCTGGGGCTTGACTTTTTGGATGAGCTGATGGACACTATTATAGAAACTGAGACTGTCCATGAGAACTTTCGCTTGTGGATGACCACTGAGGTTCACCGGCAGTTCCCCATTACCCTTCTTCAAATGTCCATTAAATTCACCAATGAACCTCCACAGGGGCTCAAAGCTGGTCTGAAGAGAACATATGGTGGTGAGTGAAAAAAATCAACAGGGAATAAAATATAATTTGTAGCGGTACACAATTAAATAGGTCCTTCCTTCCAGCCCCACCTATGTTACCATGTGATCATGTTGCAGTTCTTGGTAGAATCAGAATGAAATTGTTGGACGCTGCCTGCAGACCTTATCCGTTGAAGCTGATAACAACAAGAGTTGTTCATGTGGATTCCACGGCACAACTTGACCCTAAAATGAAGCCAGATGAAAAGAAAATCAAGAGAAATTGGAGAGCTGCTGAACTCATCTGATATAAAAACAGGAATATTTTGTCCACAAATTATAACCTCCAGTGTCTTGCTTAAAATGCTTTTTAACACATCATTTAATAATAATAATAATTGAACACCCTTGCACTTTTTATGATGAAAGGCCATATGCTGATTTTATCATGCTAGAGCGATGATTTTTATGTGCTTTTCTGGGAACTAAAAAGCTGTATCTCCTGTCCTCAAAGGGCTTGTTGATTTGATAAATGCACCAGATGTGCACTGTAACATGTTCATTTATATTTCTGAACTTTATGCTAACTTGTGCTACCTAAAAAGAGTTAGCATACTTTCTCCAGACTAGAGTGCTTTGTGATATAGTAAATGCATCTCTGGAGAGATTCAAAGCTAACTAAGTACCACCAGGAGAGGTATTTTAGTAATGTATCACACTGAAACTAAAATGCTGGTAGCTTATGGCTTGTGATGTCCACTTTTTTCCAACAGGTGTGAGCCAAGATCTCCTGGATGTCAGTAACATGGTGCAATGGAAACCAATGTTATACGCTGTTGGTTTCCTGCACTCCACAGTTCAAGAAAGACGCAAATTTGGACCACTAGGTTGGAACATCCCCTATGAGTTTAACCAGGCTGACTTTAATGCCACTGTGCAGTTCATCCAGAATCATTTAGATGACATGGACATCAAGAAGGTACTTAATTCAATAGTTTGGGTAACTGGAATATTATGGATGGTCCCAAACAACTGAAATACAAACATGAATGCTAGATTTTAAAAAGCTTGTTCCTTTAACTCCAGATATATTGAGTGCCCACAGCGTGGAAAACACTCGTCTACATATGTTGAAATACAAATGCAACGGCTCAGTGGGGGGTAACTTTTTAAATCCATTTTTAACCATGTGTATGTTTTCTAGTTATGTTTGTGGTGGTTACTTTTTTATTAATCCAAATATATATATATAATTATGCAAAAAAAGGGGAGCTGTAAACTGCAGCAATAGTTGAGGCCTAGTAGGCTTGTCCCAGTTGCAAACCTAACTGTAGGAAGTGACTAACAATTCACAAAATGTTAAAATAACCTATACCAATAAATGTTGGTGTGGGGGGGAAAGTGCACAGGGGAAACAGACTGAATTAGTCCAAACAAAAAGGACTGTGTTGAGATCGTATTTGCTAAAGAAGGGAAGTGTGGGACCAGAAATCAGTGACTCAAAATTGGTGTGTTGGAAAATAGATGTAATTGGTGGACAAAGTAATGAGGAGAAGGGCTATTCCACCCATTGCTCTCCTTTTGGGGTCCTCAGAAAGACTTTGGAGGGGGGCAGGAAATTAGCAGACTATGGCTGACTGAAAGGCTGACAAACAGGAAGGATCGAGCGTTATCATTATGGCTTCCATCCCCTTTATCTCTTGGAACCCCAGAGTCCACCATGACACTCTTGGGCCTTTGTCATCCTAATCCTGAGATGTCCTGACCAGACTGAGCCAGAATGAGAGACCCAGATGACACTGTTGGCTCCAGCTAAACCCCAACCACCACTGGGGATGTGAAACTTTTTCACCCCCTCCTGGTGCACCCTTTTCCTTCCCCACCTTAATTCTTCTCTTTCCTATTTCTCTCCTATTGCCTTCTGTCTGAAAAGAGTCTGGCTTAGCTGGCTAAGACTATATATTTTACAGCACTGCTGCAAGCCTGTGAGCAGAGAGGCAGCTAAAAGCAATGCCCAAAGCAACCTGATGCTGGTGTAAATTTGTCAGGTCTCAGAATGGCTGATAAGACCAAGTGTAATACCTGTGTTTTTCCAGCAGTGAGGTTGCAAGTGAGAGTCAACACCAAAGATAGAAACTAATTTATTTTGCTATTCTTTTCTTTTCCCTGTTGCATGTACTTGTCTTGTTTTGTCTTCAAGAAAAAGGGATCAAACTTTAGCAGCCGCAATAAGAGATCCAGGCTATCTTAGCTAACTTCTGTTTTCCCCAAACAGGACAGTTATTACCATCTTTAATACCATCTAAAGGACTGTCAAATAAGGGGTTTTGTCCTTTTAAAAACTTTAAAAAAAAGGACCAAGGGATGTTGTTAAAATGAAAACCTTATTTAATACTTTACATAGCAAATGCTTTAACTGTCTTTTTTCTCTTCTTTTCTACATATTTAAAGGGTTAAAAAGATTTCTAATGGTTTGTTTGCCAAAGTACTAAGCCAGCTGAGGTCTCTGTATACCAAACACTGAAGCTTGTTTAAGACTGCTTGATGTTGGACAGTGACTGGGTTATGCTATCACCTTTGACTTTTTGGACACCTATATTCCATCGAAATTAATAAAGCAAAACACACCATGACATAGAGTTTATTTTTATTGTGAGATAGTGTTAAATGGCTAAAAGTTGTTTTTTGTATTTCAGAATGATGTTCTGTTTTATAACAAATGTTTTAATAATATATTTCAATTATTTGTGATTTAATGGAATTAGCACTTGCTTTTTGACCCTGTCTTCATAAATCAGTGCTTCTCATGCCCACGCCAGTTTTGGGGAACGGGTTGGATGGCAAGCTGTACAGGTGTATCTGTGAGGAGAGTATCACATTTAGGAAAATATTATTTGAAATTTGTTGGTACTAATTTTGTGAAAGTTAAAGATGCTGATGAATTTTCTGAACCCCCAATGCATCCCCTGCCTAAAAACCAAATACAGTGGGACATCAGAGCAGCAGTTAGGAGTCTACAAAGATAATCCTAATTATTTCTGCACTGCAATGGTGGTGGATTTTGTTTAAACGACCTAAGCAGAAAGCATATTACTACCGACCAGCTATTCCATGGTTCTGTGGCCCTTCTGTGACACTCTGGCAGCAAAAGGGGACTGTAAAACTGGCTTAACTAGTCTCCTGAAGATGTCTCTGGATGGGAGAATCCAAAACAGTGTAGTGAACCATAGTTGCTTCTCTGGTTGTAAATCTCCATTGTAAATGGCATTTGGGGGCATGGTTGGAGCGAAGCTGTACCACAGGTATCCCAGCTGCCAAAAGAGCCCCTTGTTACTTAAGCCAGTGGTTCTCAAAGCCGGTCCACTGCTTGTTCAGAGAAAGCCCCTGGCGGGCCGGGCCAGTTTGTTTACCTGCCGCATCCACAGGTTCAGCCAATCGCGGCTCCCACTGGCCGCGGTTCGCCACTCCAGGCCAATGGGGGCTGCGGGAAGCAGCGTGGGCCGAGGGATGTGCTGGCTGCCCTTCCCACAGCCCCCATTGGCCTGGAGCAGTGAACCACGGCCAGTGGGAGCCGCGATCAGCCGAACTTGCGGAAGCGGCATGTAAACAAACCAGCCCAGCCCGGCAGGGGCTTTCTCTGAACAAGCGGCAGAACGGCTTTGACTTAAGCCGCTGTAAGTTGTGTGAGGATTGAGCAGACCTCAAGATCAGGGGAACACAAGGGTGATGTAAAGTCACTTTCACCCTCAAGACGGTCAGATGATCTGGGCCTATATACAATACTGTATGTATACAGACACATGAAGATGTCAACAGAGCTCTGCATGAAATTCAGGGAGGTTTAGCCATAATTAATGTTTGTATGTTGTTTTAGGGTGTCTCCTGGAATACTGTTCGCTACATGGTAGGCGAGATCCAGTATGGAGGTCGAGTGACTGATGACTATGACAAAAGACTGCTGAACACATTTGCTAAAGTCTGGTTCAGTGAAAACATGTTCAGTCAAGACTTCTGCTTTTACAAAGGGTACAGCATACCCAAATGTACCACAGTGGATCAGTACCTTCAGTACATACAGGTTTGTACAGTATCAAGCTCTTATCAAATGAAAACAATACTAATAAACACTCATCCAAGTTCTTTCTACCCTTCAGCATCTTCCTTTAGTTTCAGTCTGTTAAACAGATTTTTCTCCTGTCTGCATACTTGCCTAAATATCTGTTAGTGAAGGAGTCATAATGCTGTTCCAGTAGCTCTACACTTTATTTTTCCTTTTAACTCCCTTGAGAGAAGTACTATCTAGAGAGACCGTTATCAAAGGAAAAATAGAGAATGGGAGTTCAGGCTCTTGGCCCTACCGCACAGGAAATGTTAGGGGAGTCTGAAGCGGAAAATGACTACTCAAATATAGGGGGAAATTGCATACTAAGGCCAGGTCTACACTGGAAGGGGGATCGATCTAAGTTACGCAACTTCAGCTACGTGAATAATGTAGCTGAAGTTGACGTACTTAGATTGACTTACTGTGGTGTCTTCACCACGGTGAATCAACTGCTGCCGCTCCCCCATCGACTCTGCCTGCGTGTCTCGCCGAGCGGCGGCCAATACATCCCTCGGCCAGTGCCGCTTCCAGCAGCTCCCTTTGGCCTGGAGCAGTGAACCGCGGCCAGTGGGAGCCACGATCGGCCTGACCTGCAGATGCGGTAGATAAACAAGCCGGCCCGCCCCGCCAGGGGCTTTCCCTACACAAGCGGCATCCCAAGTTTGGGAAACACTGCCCTAAGTGGTTCCAGTCAGCAGGGTTTGTGTTTCAGTGCTAGGTTTTAGGAAGCACTGGATTCTTTGCATTGAAGACTGCTAATTGAGCATCACAGGATGACAAAATTAGGAAAATAAAGCTTTTTTTATTTTATAGGGTGGAAACTGCTTTTATTCCTCTGGCTTTTTTACAGCTGGCATTTGTGAATTTTACCTCCAATTACAATTCTTTGTGTTTGATCATCTAGAGCCTGCCCGCTTATGACACTCCTGAGGTATTTGGGCTGCATCCCAATGCTGATATCACTTACCAAAGCAAGCTTGCCAAGGATGTGTTGGATACCATCCTCAGTATTCAACCTAAAGACAGTTCCAGTGGAGGAGGCGAGACTAGAGAGGCGGTGGTAGCTAGATTGGCTGATGATATGTTGGAGAAGCTTCCTGATGATTATGCACCGTTTGAAGTGAGTTCATGAAATCCTGTCAGAAATGACATCTGCTCTGTCTTGCCTTATGTATGTGCAAAAAAACACAGAAAAGTCCCATATAATCTTCTTTAAAAGTTTTAGTGAATCCATTTACACTGACAAATGCTTTAAAAATATATACTGAGGAAGCCTGAATGGGATGTAAATGTTCATAGTGAAGCTGCTAAAATTGTACTGATGGACATTATTGCTTTGCTAAAAATTAAACCACTTGTTGATTTTCCGTTTACACTGTGGGAGGTCAGCAGTTTTCGTCAGCTAAACTAGATAACATTGTGAGAGAGAACTTGTGCTCTGTTTGTAAATTAAAATTCCTAAATTTTGTTACTTTGCAGTTCAGCATAGAAACCGCAGATAGTTGTAATTTGTTTTCATATATTACAGTGTTTCTTTACAATGGAGTGAATGGCTCCCGGGATTGACAGTGATGTGGATGTGGGTGTGAAAGAGTGAAATAAAAATATGTGTGTGTGTGTGTGTGTGTGTGTGTGTGTGTGCGCGCGCGTGGAACCTTTTCATCTTGCCTTCACTGGTTCAAACCCAGTGAAGTTAACTACTGACTCAGCAACAATGCTTAGTAGCCCAATTGCGGTGAGTTTGGTTTCAGTTATAGTTGCAATAGACACTTTCCCACATTGTGCAGAGGAAACACTGCCACTGACTTACCCTCCCCTAGCTAGCATCCAGGGGAAACAGAATGGAGAGTTTAGGAGGGGAGAGTGAACAGACAGGACCATAGTGGCATGTGGCTAGATGCACAAGCTGCACAGTCCTGGGCCGCCCAGAAGCTTCAGGGGGCCTGGGGCAAAGCAATTTCGGGGGTCCCTTCCATAAAAAAAAGTTCCAATACTATATAATACTATATTCTCATGGGGGCCTCTGTGGGACCCAGGGCAAATTGCCCCACTTGCCCCGCTCTCTGGGCGGCCCTGGCACAGTCGGTGTACATGTCCATGTGTGCACACTCTTGTTTGTCTGGCTTTGGCTCAGCTCTTTTCAAATACAGTTATTCCCTTGTCCATTATCTTACTTGTGCTGTGTTCCATCAGGTATGATGTAAGCGTCATGTCACAGTAGTTAACACCAGTGATGACAAACCCAACAGAAATGAGGCAGGGCCGTCTCTACCATTTTTGCTGCCCCAAGCAAAAAAAAAAAGCCGCTCGGACTGCTGCCCGAACTGCTAGGTTGACCAGATGTCCCAATTTTATAGGGACAGTCCCGATTTTTGGGTCTTTTTCTTATATAGGCTCCTATTACACCCCACCCCCGTCCCGATTTTTCACACTTGCTGTCTGGTCACCCTACAAACTGCCGAAGGAAAAAAAAATAACCGGACTGTGCCGCCCTAAGAATGGACGGAATGCCGCCCCTTAGCATGTGCCGCCCCAGGCACGTGCTTCCTCTGCTGGTGCCTGGAGCTGGCCCTGAAATGAGGAGCCCCCTGTTCTAATTTGAACTGCTGAGCCAGTGACCTCCCACAGGTCTGTGTCTTGGCATGAGCTCAGCACATTGAAATTTCTGATCTAATGACCTCACAGAAGCCTGAGCACTATCACCCCAGCAAGCCATAGAAGATGTTAGGAAACTTTTCTGAAGCATGAGACTTGATATCCAATCAGAGCAGCACTTTTGAACTCACAAGACTTGTGCCTTTTGCTATCCCCGTCAGCAAGTTTGTAGTGCTTAGGCTGAGGTTTCACAAGTTTTTAAGCTTTCACACAAGCCCAAAAGCTAGAGGTGCTCAACCAGTAACCTCAGAGAGGGCTGACACTCATCCTAGCAAGGTAGGAGGAGTACTTAGCCAGTAACTTTAAAAAGCCCTGTGTTGCCACATAGACCCAAATGGTTAAATTGCTGAACTAGTGAGTTTACAAAGCCTTGTCTCTTGTAATCTTTCTCAGGAAGCTAAAGAATATCATAGAATATCATAGAATATCAGGGTTGGAAGGGACCTCAGGAGGTCATCTAGTCCAACTCCCTGCTCAAAGCAGGACCAATTCCCAACTAAATCATCCCAGCCAGGGCTTTGTCAAGCCTGCCCTTAAAAACCTCTAAGGAAGGAGATTCCACCACCTCTCTAGGTAACCCATTCCAGTGCTTCACTACCCTCCTAGTGAAAAAGTTTTTCCTAATATCCAACCTAAACCTCCCCA